TCTGATGATAACCAGCTCTCAAGTCGAGCTTTGAGAAATAGCGGGACCCGGCTAACTCATCGAGCATGTCGTCAACGCTAGGGATAGGAAATCGGTCCTTGATAGTTGCAGCGTTCAAAGCCCGGTAGTCCGTACAGAACCTCCACGTGCCGTCTTTCTTTTTGGCCAACAAGACTGGAGAAGAAAACGGGCTCTTGCTATGCTGGATTAGTCCTGATTCGAGCATCTCAACAACTTGTCGTTCGATCTCGGTTTTCTGAAAGTGAACGTACCTATAAGGATGGACATGTATGGCATGTTGCTCATTAATCAGTGGTATGCGATGATCGAACTCTCGGTGCGGTGGTAGTCCCTTAGGCTCGCCCAGTACTCCTTCGAATCCCTCGAGAAGTTCGCGCACATCACCTTGATGTTGTTCATCTCGGTCTATGTGCGCCTTAGTGTTCTCGACCACAACTGCAAAAATTTGGCCGCCACCTCGCCAAACTCTTTCGATGTTTTTCAGCCCTACTTCCTTAGTACCCTTTTCGGTGCCCGTACTCAGAGTGACTTGTCGACCTCCAAAGTTGAATTCCATAATTCCTGTTCGATAGTCGGTAGTCACCCTACCTAACCCCTCGAGCCATTGAACCCCCAGAACGACATCCGGTCCAACCAAAGGTAAGGCGTAGAGATCGGCCTTCACAGTTACTCCGTTAAACTTGATTGGCACCTTCCGGAACGACTCAGTACATTGTAGCCTTTCTCCATTGGCTACTCAGACTTCGAAGGGTTTGATTTTTGTGGTTGGCAACTTCAGCTTTTCAGACAACTCAGTATTGATGAAGTTATGAGACGAACCATTGTCTACGAGCACGACTACACGACGGTCCTTGAACCATGCTGGTAGATGCATCGTCCTTGGTCCTCTGATTCCAGCCATTGCATGCATCGAGATCTCAGGCTCCTCATGGAGTGCTTCAATATCCTCTTCCTGGTGTAGTTCCTCCTCGACCTCAGCTTCCTCATCGTCGGGGTTGGCCACCTTGTTAGAGGTATGCTGTAAAAGCTGTGTTTTGCAGTTTCTATCAATTCCATTTTG